GGGATACAGCATTGGCCCAGTTGAGAGAAGGAGTCAAATCAGGAAGAGTGGATAAAGTTTTGGACGTGTAATATTCGGTTCAAATTACAACTGTACCACTTATGGTACATTTATGAATCATTTATGTCCTAAAGTTTATTTGTAAAATGAGGTTACTTCTGTTTATCCTTTAGGACTTTTGTTATGCGTGTGAAATGACTTTGTTAACTGTAAAATGTTTTGTAGTGTAAGGGGGTGAGACGAGCATGCAGTTCCAGACCAAATCCCTGAGATCCAACTCCTTGGTTGTCTCCATTTTAAACCATCAAGCTGGCTTTATAGGTCACTAAACCACATTAAAGTTGCCTATTAGCTGATAAGTGGGAAATATGGAGAAGTGACTTGGTTAGAAAGATGCATTAGAAACAAAATCCATTCATTCATTTAAGATTTTTCATTGATACATATTATGTGACAGGTACTGTTTTTTTTTTTTTTTCTGTGGGAGACACATTCCAACCTGTTATGATGTACCCATTCTAGGGAGAATAATAGGTTATATATACAATATCCAGTGGCCATCTAACTTTTGGCAAATTACTGAAGTTTTTCTGGGCCTGTTTGTCAGTACTTTCTCCTACAGAAAATACGGTGATTTTATACAAGATATTGGAATCTAAGTCATTATGTGTACTAACTGCAATATTAGACTACATACCATTCTTTTCCATGCTGAGTGTATTTAAAGTAGTAGCTACTGAACCAGGATGTTTTTCATTTTTGTGACTTACCTTTTTGAAGTCAGTTTTTGAAGTCATTTGCACACCTCAGACTAACTTATTAATAAGCAGTTCTCTCCTGAATAATACTTATAAAAATAATTGAGTAAAGCAATTGGTATCCTCATAGGGATATGTCAGAGATGCCAAGTTCAAGCCTAATTATACCACTTTTGTTTATAATTGAAGGTATATCAAGTAGTGGCATTTTAGTTTATAAGCTGTGTAATTTTCCAGGTAGAAAGGAAAGGCAAATATTTCTCATGCAGGTCATATCTGAAGGTTTCACCCAGGTCACTCCTTCCAGAAACCCTTTCATAAGAGGTGTTCTCTGTGTGTGAAATATTCCAATATTCCAGCTGCGCTCCCACCTGGGAAAGGGAAGGAAGTATCCCTGCAACTCAAACAACAGTTTCATTACTTTGTAAGGAACTCCTGCCTGGATACTTAGGGACTAAAAAGGAGGCAGCTACTACTCAGGGTTGAGAAGTTCTCTAAAAAAGAAAAATATCTTTGAAAAAGGGAAAACATCATTGAGTCTCAAGAACCATGGAATATTTTCAGGGCAGGATTTTTATCCTACAACTACATCTACATAATATCTACAAGGTAGATGTTATTGAGAAGACTCTATTAAAAACACAGGTCATGTTATGGTAATAATACGAGACATCTCCTGGGATATAACATTTTTTTGTAGCCCAATGTAAAGTTTGTAGGAATCTGAAGGCAAAAGTAACGATTTGCCTACTGGGATTAAAGTATATATTGTAATTCTCTAGTCAGTTATATTGACAACAACAAAAATAATAGATGTGAGATTTGCTTCCATGGAACCTTTAGTGTTACATGTTGAAAGAGGGAGGAAAGCAGGTAAGTGAAAAAAGATACTAGAATGTAATAGACAATGTAAAAGAAGCATGGATAGGATACAGCATTGGCCAAATTGGGACGTCAAGGTTTTTGTAACAAGCAGTATTAAAACCAGTCACTTAATGCTACTTAGGGTATTCTATTTAGCACAAATAAAAACCAAAATCAGATAATGTGTTTTTGTTGTGGTGGTTGTTAGTGGTGGTATTCCCATAAGTCTATACACCTAGAGATTTGTCTGACAATAAAATAAAAAACAAATGACTGTTCTATATGGCAGAATCACATTGTTTTATGTGAGAACTAAATTGATAGGTGGCTAGGTTAGTTCTAAATATGTTTTTAAATTTTGGTGTCTGTTTTCAACTTACAGTGAGATAATATTTATATACTTAGCTACCTACCTGCTTTATTTTCCAAGAGCAAGAATACTTAGTTGAAATGTTTACATCTCATAGGTAGCATATGATCACCATATGTACCCAAAAATTCTTATCTGATAGAAACTACCTAGCTGTTTTTTTTTTTTATGATATCATCTACTGGATAGAATACAGGTCTCTTACAGCTAATAAACTGTTCTGCCTTAAGTGATTCTTTCTTACTAAAACTTATACAATCCATAGCATGACCCAAATCTGTAGATTCTTCGACTAAAGGTATGAAAATAGTATTTGTGAGCCAGATGCAAACTTCTGCTACATAACTCTTCAGTAGAGGCAACTAAAGAATCTCAGAGTTTCTGCATTGGCAGGAGCTTAGTGACATCATGTCTAACAGTGTTTCCTGACATGGGGCACGATGAGGCCCTGAAAGGTTGGGTGCTTTGGCCAAAGGTACACAGCCCCTTTGAGGGGAAGCTGTGACTCAACCCTGAGGCTTCTGAGTCTCAGTTCAGTGTTGACTGTACCTGACTACCTCAATCCATTTTACAGGAGAACATGATGAACATCCTTAGGAAGACGATGCCAAAGGGCTTACATGATAAAATGGGACGCCCTATTGTAGCCTTGAGTTTTGGGTACCATTTATAGATCATGCCAGTCAAAATCTTGTTTAAAGTACCTTGTGGATGAGATATAGATGACATAAAGTACCCATCTCTGAGAAGCTGCCACACCCTCATTAGTGTGACCTGCAATGATGCCCAGATAGCCTTTGATTTAGTTAATGAAAAAAGGACAGAGTTCAAGAAACAAAAGACAACTAGGTGTGCCTATTTTCCACAACATCCATAATATTATATTGACTTTCCTTAACTTGTTCTAATCTTGAAACATTCTAGAAGTTTCTACTTCCTAATTGCAAAAGTTATTAAGTGATATGTTAAAAGATCTATTAGAAATAGAAAATACCTTAAGTCTATCACAATTACTAAGAAATGCAAAACACAAATACTTTAGTATCAGTGGGGAGTAGGGGGAAATTAAGTATCAAAAACCTGAAAATTAGTAAGGATAATAAATCAATACTACCTAAGAGAGATGCTGAGAATCTGAAATATAATACCCTTTTAAGATCAAGGAGAAGAAAAATGAACTCAATAAAATTAAATGGTCATAAAACATGCCTATGCGGAGAATAGGAGGCAAAATTTAATGCTCAGAAGTACCCTTTAAAATCTTGATACATGCAATGAGTTTTCCTTACAAAAACAAAAGATTTGTCTGAGTTGAAAGGCATGGAGATAACCCATAGAAATATAGCAATAGGTCTAGACTGATGATTCTTAATTTCTATTAAAAATTGAATCAGATTCTTTCCTTTTGTAATGCAAATAAATAATGATCATTATTACAGGGCATCACACTTCTATTTGGAGTTTTTCAGTTGACAAATATTTTTCAAAAACGGTCTTATTTAATAATCTGTCTCCCAAGCTCAGAGAACGGAATGTTCTACCGCTGTTTCCTTCCAAGTTTGGGCTGTGTGACCTTTGGCAGTGTTAGGCTGCTCCACCACTTTGGAAGCTCAGGGAATTGTAAATTCCAGAAGAATGGCACCTGCCAGGGCAAGTGGACAGCAATGTGTTCCCTTATCTCCCTAGCATTGGCTGCCCTCTGCCTTTTAGAACTGATGTTCAAGATAAGTCCTATATAGAGCCACTTGCCGGAGAATATGGTGGAAATCATTTTCCAAGGTCATGTCATAGCATCACTGTGGACATTCCTAGGAGACTGAGAGGCAGCCAAAAATAGGGTACTTGCCTTTGTTTGCTTTGAAAAAAATGTCCAATTTTCCTAATAATTCCCTCCTCTTATCATTCCCTTTATTTTTTTAACTCTTTTGACTGAATTGTTCTGTCATTTGACATTCAATAGACTTATGTCTAATGTAATCTAATTTTCTTTAAATGTTTATTTTCAGAAAGAGAGAGAAATAAAGAAAGAAATAAAAAGAGCAAGCGAGCGTGCAGGAGGAGGTTCAGAGAGAGAGAGGGAGAGAGAGAATCCCAAGCGGGGCTCCATCCCATGAACCATGAGATCATGACATGAGCCGAGATCAAAAGTTGGATTCTTAACTGACTGAGCTCTCCAGGCACCCCTTAATTGATTTTTAAAAATAGATTTTTTTTCTAATTGAATTGGCATAGTTTGGTGAATTGACCGACCTGATCTCTGTTCCTCTAGGAATCCAGAATTAGAATCTCCCTTACCTTTTTCAAGGGTAGGACACTTGCTATACGTGATACCTATCTGGAAAGCACTTTATTCTTTGAGCACCAAAGGAGGAAAGTAGTATAATAACCAAAATTACATGTTTATTTTAAATAAATATATCATCTAAATAGTTCCTTCCTGGACTGTAGGAATGCTTTAATAATCCCAGATAGGGTTCATCTTGATGGCTTGGTTTTCTTCACTTTCTTTAGCCATTTCTGATAGGAAAAAATTCTCATATGACTTAAATATTTCATGGTTAGTTACAATGTAATTTTGAGATAGCTAACATTACTTCGCCTTGAAACAAACTCACAGGGAAATAACTGTATAAAAGAAATGGGCTTGACCAACTTACTTCCCTACACATGTAGGGTTTTGGTTTAAGTATAAATAAAAGAAAATGGAAAATAATTTTGTTTCTGATTATAAGTTTTAGAATTGTTACGGCATTTAATCTGAATTAGATTATGTCTGTGACGCCATGGAAGTCTAGTTCAGCCAAATTCTCACCCTGCTTTTCTATGGCATTTGGTCCCTCAAGCATGGAGAGTCCTTTGAAGTCACCATAGGCTGAACTCATAGAACTCTTTTTTATAGGAACAGGTTTAAAAATGGAATAAATCCCATATAGAAACTCTGACAACTGACAGAAGAGATAAGGCCTTAAGGCTGCATTTCCTTCCCTAGGCCTTTAAATTCTACTTACCATTAAAATGATCAAAAGGCAGATGTTCCTGAAAAGGAGCCAATCCATTCCTTCAGGTCTTTCTTGCACACGAACCCGGATGAAATTTGATTTTAGTCCTAGTCTTCTGGGTTCTGAATTCGGCTCTGCAGCAAGATGTGCTTTAAGATGCCCTTTTAGGAGGGCATGGGTGATAACTCTGGTGCTTTCTGGGCAGAGGAATGAAGATGTTCTATAATGACTCTGTTTCCCCACCCCAAACTCTTGGGCTGGTCTGGAAGGCTGGCATTGTTTGAGCTCTGGGTAAGAACATAGACACACCTTGATTCTTATTGCAATGAAACCCTTTGTTGGACACCAAAGAAAAATCTTACAGAGGGAGGACAAGATTTACAGGGAAGATACCCAATGAATAATAAATTACTCACAACATGAAAAATAATTAAGATGTTAGGGCCTATCATCATGCTGAATAAAATTAGTAGGCTTCTTCTTCTGCCAACATCATAAAAGCAAAATTATATATACTAACAACACACACACATATGTACACTACAGAACCAACTTCAAGGACTGACACTTGGAGCAGAGGACATTGTGAAGAGGCATCAGGCCCAAAGGATGGTGTAGGGAGAGAGATAGAATAATGAAACTCTCATCTCTTAAGGTGATTCCTGCTTCCCTCCTTAAGAAGTCCTGTGATCAAACTGCATTCCTCAAGTTTAAAGATGTTCTGAAAAATAAGGTTAGGACAGAAAGACTCTGATTTCACTAGTATGTTTTTTTTTTGCACACTTTAGCATATTCTTTCCTCCATATACAGTTGAGCCTGTTATATATGATATGACATTAACTAAACTGGCTTAAGGTAACTGCAATACAGAGTTTGGTCACTCTTCGTGGCAAAAAAGTACACTGATAAAAAAGTACATAATATGAGTGAGTAACACATTTGAAACCCTCATAAATATTTATTGAGAAGAAGCTGAGACGGGGAACCTGAGAATTTAAGGGCAAAAGACCAGAGCAGTATCTGGATGTTTCAGAATATCATTTCCCTTTTTTCATTTCTCTCTTATCCTTTGTTAGTGTGGATTTAGAATAGGTATAGCTCCCCTGTGAAAAAAATTGCAGGCTGGCAAGCATCATCAACAAATATAAAAAGAGAAGGTAGTTGAATGTTCTCTAACTGCTAATATACGTTGGCTGGAGAATTTGAAAGGGGGATTGCATCATTGCTGCATCTCAGAAACAAGATGGGCTCTATTGCTAGGAATGGAATGTATTCTAAACAGCATTCAGTCTTTGGGAATCTTAGTTTGACATTTTTTGGAGCATAGGAGAGAGTCTAAGCAATTAGAGCACTGGCATAGTATCCTAAAATGAAGATAAATGAATTATGTGTTGAAAATATCTCTAAGAAAGAGAGCAGGAAATTATACGGAAGTAATGGAAAAAGTGAATTGTTACAAAAAGGCAGTATTTGGATATATCTGCCTAAGCCAAATATTATATTTGGGGATATCTATATTTATAATTCAAAAATGTATAAGCTGAGCCAATAAAGCCTATGTGTGATATCAAGTTTTAAAGTACATCAAGTGGTCCTCTAGATATTAATTTACTATTTCATTGTATGTTAGATAAGTCTTTAAAACAAGAGTTATGGAAAGCTATGCTTGAGTAAATAAGTTTTAAAAATCTAGGGGTGCCTGGGGGGGCTCAGTCGGTTGAGTGTCCAACTTTGGCCTAGGTCATGATCTCATGGTCTGTGAGTTCAAGCCCCGTGTCGGGCTCTGTGCTGACAGCTTTGGAGTCTGTGTCTCCCTCTCTCTCTGTCCCTCCCTTGCTTGTGCTATGTCTCCCTCTCTTAAAAACAAACATTAAAAAAATTTTTTTTAAAAAAAAAGGTCTTTTGCGAGGCATCTGGGTGGCTCAGTTGGTTAAGCATTCGACTCTTTTTTTTTTTTAACGTTTATTTTTGAGACAGAGAGAGACAGAGCACGAATGGGGGAAGGTCAGAGAGAGAGGGAGACACAGAATCCAAAACAGGCTCCAGGCACTGAGCTGTCAGTACAGAGCCCAATGTGGGGCTCAAACTCACAGACTATGAGATCATGGCCTGAGCCGGAGTCCGACGCTTAACCGACTGAGCCACCCAGGCACCCCAGGCATTTGACTCTTGCTATCAGCTTAGGTCTTGATCTCAGGGTTGTGAGTTCAAGCCCCACACTGGGCTCTATGCTGTGTGTTGAGCCTAGTTAAAAAAAAATTCTTTTGCAACTGTTTTACATGCAACTGAGCTTTGATACTTCTTTGTTTTCATGAATTGTTGTTCAGAGGTTTGAAATGTGACAATTGCATCCACCATGGAAAAATTCTGTTTTATAGCTAGGTTAAAACAGCATTGAATTAAATACTTTTACTCTTGAAATATATCCTCCATCAATAGTGCCAGCGAGCTTTGGGCTTTGGGGATGCAGTGGAATTTTCCCTGTGTTCTTCTACATGTGTGAAGTATAACGGACGTCGTTGCTTGAAATGAGTTCCAAGAGACAGGGTGGTTGGAAGTGTTTCCCTCCCAGCCAGCCTACCCAAGACCTTTTCATTGATTATAACTGTGCTGTGACTTTGTTTTTATTTTTGTACAAAGCATTTGAATTATTCCGGAATAAAGGAGGAAGAACAATGAGAATTTGTGCTTTATCAGTGAGTAGAGATAGTCCTGGGCTGTGTGCATTTCTATCCCTAGAAATACGCTATAAACAGCTATGAAGATTGTTTGTGTCTTGTGGAAATTTAATGTGCCCTGTTGCTTCAGATTTGAATTATAGACACGTAAGAGGAGAATGTAAAATATCTCAAATAAATGGAATTTTAGACTTTAAAAAATACATGACTGACACCCTTTTCCTAGGTGCCTCCCAGTTTACCATGGCCCCTGTACATAAAATTGTTTTTGGTGTCCGTATCCAATGGAGAGTATGAGGGAAGAGAAAAGAATGTATAATTTCAGTGCTTTCAGTATGATGCTCTGGGCCATCAAACAGAAATAAATCTGAGGGACCTTTTATTGCCATGGGAGTCACTGCAGAACAGTAGAGAATGGGAGAAGCCAGTAAGGATTCTTTAGCAGATTTATGGCTATAAACAATGGGTCAGTCAGAGCTTAAGAAAGTACTAAGGGATGAGGGAGAAGTCAGTGGTTGTCATGATGGTTTTATTTCCATCACTATTTCCAAGCAGGCTCTGAGTCAACATGTAACAGCGCATTATATTAATATGCAAGGTAGGGCAAGTTGATTATTGTTTAGCCAGCTAAAGAAATTCATTTTTGTTTTATTTCAGTTAATATTGAATTAGAATAATTTAATATGCATTAGAGAATTAATGAAACAGATCTAGAGTGTTCTTGCTTTTCACAAGGGGAAAATTACACTCTTCCCTGGCTATATCTGATAGAGATATTTGCAAGACTTTCTACCTTTTGTTTACATCATGTCGGGTTGATTTCTTCTGAAATGTAAAACTACCTACTTACCTGACTTGCTATTCATAGGGTGAGTTTCAAGAAAAGAAAGTAAGAAAGAGAGAAAAGAAAGAAAGAAGGAAAGAAAGAAAGAAAGAAAGAAAGAGAAGGAAAGAAAGAAAGAAAGAAAGAAAGAAAGAAAGAAAGAAAGAAAGAAAGAAAGAAAGAAAAAATGAAAAGAAAAGAAAGGAAAAGAAAAGAAACAGCAAACAGTAGAAGTAGGTACTAGGTCTTTTACGTGATTCCTCTAGATTTCCCCATTTATAACTCCTGAACTCAGTGATTCAGAATTTGAATCTGGTGATTATGATTATACGCAGATTTAAAAGACTTTGCAATAACTGAGAAGTGGACAGTTGATGTCCCATCACCTCATTTGTACTTCTGGGGAGAATTATGGAAGTGATCTCAAAATAGAATCCTGAAAGGATTTCAGTTAGTGAAATCCTTTTCTTGGCAAAACTTAGGTCATGATTTTGACTTAGGTAGATAAAGAACAGCTACTTTTGTTTCTCTTGTGGGGTACCAGCCATCATTAAAACGGAGCGTGAAATCATTAATGCTTAAAAATACCCTACAGATGGGGCGCCTGGATAGCTCAGTTGTTTGGGCATCCAACTCTTGATTTTGGCTCAGGTCATGATCCCACGGTTGTGGGATCCTGCCCCGTGTCGGGCCCCGTGCTCAGCTTAAGATTCTCTCTCTGTGTCTGCCCCTCTTGCACTCTCTCTCTCTCTAAAATAATGAAAAAAAAAAATACCCTAGAGATGATCTAATGCAATCTCTCCTTTCTCCCTTCTCTCCAATCCATGTTATAGGTATAACCCTGAGAGACTATAGAGTTTAAGTGCCAAAGTTGGGCAAGAGTTCTACCTCCTGATTATAGTCAATTTATATAAATACCAAGCCACTATCCAGTGTTGGCTGGATACATGAAAGCAAAATATAAAAAAGAGGTGATGGCTGAATCCTATTATCTTTTACAAAAACTCTTCAAATAGTTTAGAGTTTACTGAACTATTAGGTTTAGTAGCTGGCTCTGCATGCAGGATTCGAAAAGTAAGTTTGTCCTATTGTTTATGTGTGATATCCTATTTCATTTGCTATTATGAAAGTACGCATAGAATTTCAGGGATGTTCTACATATTTAATTATTGTTCTGTGCTTCTGTACTATTGTCTCATACTGCTTTTAAAGTAGTGGGACATTTTCATTCCATACATCATGTCCATCTGAAAGAGCAAGTATTTTAACACTTACATTTTTTAAAAGTAATGCATAACTTAATGCATGCCAGTACAAATTCTTTTTGAAAAAAGAAATGTAATCTGTTCAGGCCAAATATTGTGAACATGATGGTAAGGCAGCATTTTTCTATCAAGTAATCAGTTTAGGGTTACTGGTGAATATTGCTTAAGTATCCAAGGGCAGCTTTATTTCTTGATAGCAGGTGTTAGAGGAAAGGAAATTTTAAAAATATTCATGGTCCTAAACCATGTTTGTCAAATGCAGTAGGCAAGTAGGTTTCAGAGTTGACTCAGGCGAAAGGGTTTTCATTAGCCTGGGCCTGGGGGGATGAACACAATGTAAACAAACTTGTCTTGGTTTTGACCTAGAGCAGTGCTGTGAACACACCTCTGACTGTCCACCTTGAGTTAATGGCACTGAAGATAAACGACCTGTTTCCTTGTTAAAGCCAATTTATGTATGGAAACCATGGTGCCTGCAAACCAGGTTATTTAATGGGTGTTGGAAATCACAGAGATTAAATGTCAGTTTCCTAAAGGGTTATGTTAATACCATAGGATGATGTTAGTTTACACCCTAAAATCATACTTACATCCTGACAGAGGTGCCTTGTTGATTCTCTCTGTGATGTCATGTGCTTGGTGTGGGATGTCTTCTAAGTAAGTGCAGAAAGAATAGTGTGGCTTCTCGCCCTGTGTTAATTAAAGCGTGTACTTACATGTTTATTGCATATTTGCTACATACTTATCCCCTCAAAATG